GTGGGGGACGGGAGCAGCACCTCCAGCACGGGCAGTGCGGGCAGCCCCGACCACCATCACCACCACCTCCACCACCACAAGGCCGGCGACAGCAAGGCCGGGGCCATGCGGAGGTCTATGGATGACCTGTCCGCGCCCCTTCACCACCGGAGCATCCCCAACGGCCTCAACGGTGAGCCTCTCCCCCTCCTAGCCATGCTGGCAGCAGGTGCCGCTGGCCTTGCCCTGCGCCACCTCCCCTTGGCAGGTCCGGTCCCCCTTGGCAATGGGGCGAGTCCTTGCCATCCCCACCCCTGCCCATCCTTGGTGACCGACCTCTTTGGAAGAGCAGCCCCGGGGGCTGGGGAGGGGCACCTGTGTGCAGCGGGGTGAGGGTGGTGCTCCTTGACTGTGTTATCGATGTCTGGGGCTGCGGGTTGGAGCCTTTTTTATCTGGAGGGCTGGTGTTTTGTTTTGTTTGTTTGGGTTTTTTTTGACAAAAACCAGCCTGAGTTTTCAGGGTTAAATAAACACTGATTTTTCCATCTCCTCCTCCTCTCTCTCTCTTTCCCCCTTTAAATGTTTTAGCTTACGTTTGTTTGTTTGCTAGTTTGATAAGGTTGATAAAGAGCCTGGATGAGATTTTGGAAGCATCTGGTGAAAATGCAGGTCTGCCCCACGGAGCATCACCTGTTAGCTCCATGGGCTCTCGGGGCAGGCTGGCTCTGTCATGCTCAGCAGCTTTGGAGAGGTGCAATTCGGCTTCTCCCCGGCTCTGCTTCAGAAACAGGAGGTTTGTTTGTAGAGAAGAGACTGCTCTCAAAGGGACGCTGTACTCACAATTTTGTTCAGCCTAGTCATTAAAGTTAGAAACGAGCTCCACTGTGAAATCGTGCCAAGCCTCCTCTGACAGTTTGTATTCAAGCAGTTTCTCCTGTTGTCTAATAGTGATCAGGCATTAAAATAATAATATTGGAATGTCTTTAAAATGGAGATTTTTTTTGTCTTTTGAAACCAACAAGACCAAATACTTGACTTCTAGAAGGAGTAGTTTGGCCAAGAGGGTTCAACAGGAATCAAACCAGGCACCAATCTAATTAATTGTTGTGTATAAGACTCTTTTTAATGTTCTTAATCCTCTTTTCCAACCAGAGAGGACTATTTTCTGGTTGGGGTACCCTTTCCTCTCCTCCAGAGGTTGGCTCTGAATGGTGTCAGTAGTGGATGTGTTTACCAGATAACCGTGCCTTCAGCTCCCAGAGCTTTTGGTCGTCCTGTTGGGACCAGGGAGTGCTGGTCCTTTTTTTGGTGATCTATGGCAAGTCCTTACACCCCAAGAGATTTGAGGGCACGCAGCACTGATCAACCCAGTTCTCAAGTTCATGAATTTGCCATGAATTTGCCTGTTGTTACAGCTGTGTGTCTCCGCTCACAGCAGGAGATGTTCTGGCCACCTCACCCAGTAGACAGGGATTGCTGGTTTCAAGGGTGATCCAGTCACCAGATGTTGCAGGGTTCAGCAAGCATCTTTTAAAGTTTGTTGTTTTCTCTCTCTCTCTCTCTC